TAGCGATGCAGGACATTTGGACATTCAAAAAGAAGCACAAAGACCATTTTCTAATAATGTATGTTTTTATACCAACAGAAAACATGCAAAAGAACTCTTAACAAGAATGACCAGAAATTTGCCCCATTTCTTTGTATTACCTTACTGTTCTTCAAAATGAGTCTTTGAAGCAGTAATGGAGACAGCAATGAGACACTTCTGCACCCACCGCTATTGCCACAGCATTGCTGGACATGATACACCCACCACCATTATCAGGACTCACTGAGAACCATAATTCTCAAAATATACACCGAGATGGAGGAGTCCATTCCTGCAAACGCCTCACTTGGCCCCCACCTGATTTGACGGCAGAACAATGAAGACAAGTCCTGAAGAGGAAGAGAGCACAAGAGGAAGAGGGGGCAGAGGGACGCAGAGTGGTTGCATGATGGCGGACGAATGCCGCAATCTCCCTGAGATAATGAGCGCCTGTGTCTCTGCGAGCAAGATAAACATTATTTCTGGCATATTGTGGCCGCCAGCAGCTTATTTATGGCCTGCCTTTTGTGCCGGGGGAGCTAATAACGCTTCAAAAAAACCAGCAGAGTGGGAGCCCTCCTCGGCTCAGGCTCTCTCCCCTGCCCTCGCAGTGCTACAGGCACTCCAAGTGCTACATCAAACGCTCAGCGTCCTGGCCTCGCTCCCTGTTAATTGTATACCTATTGTTCCCATGTAGCGCCCGAGCAGCAAAGAAGGAGAAAATGGAGGCGGGGAGAGGGGGAAATAGGCCTCCATAATGAGGCCACTGCAGCTGAGTAAATATACTCTAAAACAATATGAACTGTTTTGATGCCTCCCCTTGGCTCGCGCACGCTGCCAGGCTTATTACGGCCTCACCTTGATGATAAATAAGACCCTGCAGGGTTGTTATAGGGGAAATGTGGAAGTTTGAGGAAATACAAGCTAACAATTTGGGGAGCAAGTGGAAGAGGTACTCTGAAGGTAGTTTGGGGAAACACAAAGGCCAGCAAATGGCTTAGGTCTCAGACCACTACTTATTGAAAATGAGCTATGAGGTTGTGTACAATCATATTTTTGTAATTTAGCAACTACTGTGTGGGGTTTTAGCAATTTTGCGATTTTCATGCTGAGACCTTTGTAAGAAAGCAGTTTTTGCATTGTTGATGAGGTATCGTGACTATCCAGATCTGTTTTGCTGTTACTTTTCACCTGTTGATTAGGCCTGAATTAATTTCTTGGCTGTTTCTCATAGACAATCTCTCAGCCTTACCAGATTTTCTGCATTTACTCCTACTTTAGTTTTTCTTCCTGCTTTATTCTTCCTTCCTACTTTTATTAGGCCTACCATAAACATGTAAAGTTTGTCCACACTGAAAAAGTTATGGGATGTTGTGCAAAGGCACTGAATGCTAAATACATTTTAAATTATTAATAATTTCAGAAAACTTTTGAAAAGAATTAGTTTAATTTTGATGATCTGATGATGGCTAGCTGTTACTGTTGCTAGGTAATTTAACATAGTCACTACTGAATTGTTTTGAACTACAAAGACAAATCCGGATTTATTTGTATAGCACTTTTTACAAAGAGTGCTGTCAGAAAGCAGTTTTACAAAAAATCTGGGTCCTAGAGCCAGATGAACAAGCCAAGAAAATCAAGAAAAAGAGCAAAAGGAAAAACCTGGAGTGGAACCAAGACTCAAAATGGGAACACATCCATCTCTGGTCGACACTGGATAGCAAAACAATAAAACACCAAAAGCAATGGAAATAAAGTACAGGATTTTACAATTCAAAATGTTGAATACAAAAAAAGAAAAGAAATCAGCTTGTCATTGGACAGTGAAATTGTTTAGATTAACCAACAATGGCAGATGACTACTGTTAGAGGCCTATACGAGTAACAAATGAGAAATAGCTCTATGAAAAAAACAATCACTGTCAACTGCCAAGTAACAGTGTAACAGTGTTACAGGTACAGTTCCTGGCTACTGTTAGAAGTGTATCACAGGGAAAACGAGAGTTAAATTCATGACTACTCTCAGAAGCCTATCATGACATTATGTTAGTATGAATATGTGAAGAACTCAGTACATTGTGAGGCTGGTGAAACAGTGTCTATGATTAAATAGTTCTAGTTTAAGTCTGTGCAGGTCCCAGCATCATCAGGAAGGTCAGTGGTGCATGCAGGTGAGACTGCGCAGCAGAAAAAGGATTGGACATGTAGGCGTCTCCATGATGGTTGAACTGTTCAAGTTCGTTTTCAAAACACTGTGGGTTGCATCAGGTAGGATTCATGTTCCCTAACTAAATCTCTAATTTATGTCCTCTAATCTCATAGTTAAGATAAAATACAGCAGTTTTTGTTTTGTTTCTGTTTGGAAAGTCACACTGAAAAGGCACGAACACCTAACTCTCTGATGCCATCTTTTTGCCATTGTCCGACATATAGAGGTGAGAGAGAATGGGTCAGAGTTCAATCCCCCTGCTCTACAGTGCAACCTCCCCTAAGTAGAGGGAATATTTATGAGGTGTCATTTTTATGGAAATGTGAGTAACAACAGGTTTAAGAGGGCAACTCTAACCTTGCTGTGACTTGGCCTGACCTGGTTTGAGAAGGGGAGAATAATATCTCTGGGCTTTAATTAGCAGGAAAGCCTACAGTGAGTCACCCCTGCATCAGTGGGCCTGATGGCATGCCTCAAGTCTGCTTGTAGAATGTCCAGGTTTGGCCATCCCTTATAGGCAGGTGAGGAATATCTAGTGCCTTATATTACTAAGTCTATGGACAAGATGAGCACTACATGGCACATGCACCATGCATGCAATTTGCATTCTCTGTCTGAAGAACACCACTGTGATCTTAAATTTCAGTCCCAGTGGAAGAGCCATAACATTCATCCTATTGAAGTTGCAGTTATGCAGTTATGTTGTAATTTGACATAAATTCCTTCTCAATTATTGCTCATTCAAACAAGTGAAGACATTTTATCAGACCTGCAAATTTTAAACTTTCAATGCATTGTTTGAAAGTAAAAGATGAAATATTTTATTATCATTTGAACTTGATGCTACATCAGCAACTATGTAATTAATCAAGTTATTATGGAATTACATTCAAAGAGTTTAGCAAAATGATGGTAATACCTCTAGACGATTTCTCGAATGTAAATTGTGAGTAAGCGGCTATGTAATTGCATAGTTGCTACATAAACAACAATGTATTACATGTTCACTAAATAAGCAACTATGTAATTAAGTAATTACGCAGTTATATTGGAAAAGTATAGCAAATGATGGTAATAACTGCAGAACTCCACATAACATGATGCATCATCTCCTGCTCCTCTGGTCGGTTTCAGTGAGTGCGGTGATCATAATTGGCTTGCAAATGCAACATCTCATTTTTGCCTCTTTTCTCCTCATTGAGTCCACATCAGAAGTCCACTGTCGCCTGCCCTGCATCCCGACAGCAATGGGCTTTGCCTCTCTGGAGCTAGGTAGCGATGACAGATGCAGCAATATCCTTAGACAGAGTGAATATGCAGTAGGAGCTCACTGGCTCCCTCCACACAGCCTGTCAGTCCGGTTTACCATCAGTGCTCCCCAAACTAGCAATTAACTCTCCAAGTCCCACTTCCCCCAATGCAGACCCTGTACTGGCCCGACGGCCTGTACAGCCCAGGGGTACAGTGACCCACAACCACCACCGCCCCCCACTACCATTATACCACACACACCTCCCTCCATGCCCCACAACCCCCTTCTCATTGCATGCACCAGATCAGGGACACTGTCTCCGCAGTCTATGTCAGGCCTCCGAACTTTACGGTAAAAGAATACAGTCAATTTTGTGCTTTACCTCAGACAGAATGTTCCACGACAAGCAGAAATATCCGTAATGAAGAAGGATGTTAGCAAGCTGAAGGCTGTTGGACAACAGAAGCGGGAACATTGGACAACGCTGGAGACTTCTTCCAGCTTTAGGTATTAGAACACTAACAAAAAATGATATGTATACATAATCCATATTCTTCCCAAAATAAAAACAATAGCACTAAACATGTTTAGAGCTTGTCTTACCAGAGCGCATACTATGCTATGAAAGAAGAAGCATTACAGTCATTTAACCATGATTAAGCAGCAACAAGTACAATATGACAAAATAGACCAGTGTACAAAAAATAATTTTAGTTCATTTTTCACCTATTATTATTAATTACAACAAACAGTTCTTTCCCCAGTGTAGTTCATCAGTAGGCTGGTTGCCAAGCAACATAATGGTCAAAGATTCCATGAACAGCACAAGATTTTTAATAACTTGGCGCAGTAATGTGTGTGGCCTATTAAGTGTACATCAAGAATTTAACAACAGGCTTGAAAGTGATTTTAGATTTTAGGATCAAAACTATCCATTCAATAATTAATATCCATTCTAAAAGCCTGTTTCTAGACCTACTGAGCAAAATCCCACATTGTAATTGAACCATTCCTTTTCCCATCATCACTTTATATTCATTTTCTATTCATTTTTCAAAGTATCTATCCTAAAGATCCCAGGCTACTGTGCTGACTGCTACTCTTCATGTGAGCTAATATGGAATTAGTTTACTATGGTGAACTTTGAGAAAACCAAGCCACTTGCATATCATCAGTCCTGAGAGAAGTAAATGGCCGCAGGAATGGTTGCACATTTTTATGTAGCTTCAGCCTGGAGGCGGATGACACGCAAGTGTAATGGCACTGCTGCATCACTCCACCCCAAACTCTCCTCAACCAACCTCTCTACCGCTGGGTATGTCCAGACTCTAATGAGAACTTGGGCTGTGGAGTCCCTTTCACCTTCAGTGTTCTCTAATTACTGAATCACTGCCTGCAGATACACTATTTCCCCCTAAAACTGTGGTCTTATTCACTTCACACACTAACACACACACACACACATGTGAGGGCATAGACATATGGGTCATTCTATAGCTCTAGGTGCATTTTTTGTCTGTGGGATACATCCTCAATGAATTTTCATCATGCCATTAGAATATATACATATAAACAGATAAACAATACATTGTGATATCTGTCACTGTGCTGGCTTAAGCATTTCCAAATTTCTTTTTGAGGAAGCCCGGTATTTACAGATATTCAATTGATAAGAACAGATACTACACTTGATGTTAGCCAAAAGGCCATCACAATACTTAGAAACATCTGTTCTTCTTACAAAGATATTAGTAACTTTTTAAAAACAAAATCTTTCTGTATTTTATTGTATTTACAGAAAATGAAGATATAAAAGAAAACAGAAAACATATATAAAAACCTATATTCAACAGAAAGCCTCAACAACTAAATATAGTGTCATTTTTTCAGTATTTACTAGAAGATTTGCTTTCAGTTTTTCAAACAAATCTGCAGAGATATTTTTCCTCCAAAGTTCAGTCTTAGAAGTTGGTTGCACTTTCTGCTTCTGACAATCCAAGTAATCCCAAACACATTCAGTGATGTTGAGGTCTGGACTCTGGGGTGTAGAGTCCATTGTTCTGAAACACCAGCAGCTTCTTTGTTTGATTTAAAAATGTTCCTTTTACTGTCTATTTTCTTTTCTCAGTAACAATGTCTTCACAGCTGCACATTCTTTCAGACTTAAAGCATTGCATTCTCACAGTGGAAGGATGGACAGAATTTGTCCAAATCATTATTAATGGTAGATTAATAATGATAATGCAAATGAGTGGAGCTTGATTTTCTCCTTTCTCAAACATGTAAGCTTTAAGTACTGTTTATCTGATGGTGACAGTGTCGGTGGTCTACCAGGTCTTTCACAGTTGTCAGAAGTCCCATTGGTAACACTTTATAATATAGTTATTTACGGTCATTAAACGTTAAATAAGCAAGAACATTAATGAGTCATAAATTAATATAGTAATTAAAATTCAATATTAGAAACAAAATGTTATGCTGCTTTATGAACGAATAAAGAAAATACATTTGTGCAGTATTTACTATTAAATAAGTTAAAAGGAAAATGGTAGATTAGCTACTAAGAACTAAGAACACTGCTGAAAATCTGTTAATAAATATTATAAAAAAAAAACAAAAACAAAAACAAAGAAATCAAATCTCCAAATTGGTAGCTTTACAGGAGAAAGCAAAAACCTTAATTATGAATACAAGTCAAGGTAAAGAGATTTCATTCCAAGCTATTCCGGAGCAATTGTTTTGGTCTGTTCATCATGAAATTTTTGCACAGTGTAAAGGGCAGCTGCTGTGCACAAATGACTAATAAATAAATAAATAAATAACAAATGAACAAATAATGATAATGCAAATCCTGATAAAGCACTGCATGTGAGATGAGCCATTCAGATGCAAATTTACTAATGTTCTATCAAAGTAAAAGCTGTGAATAATTGTACTGTTTAAAAACAGATGTGTACTAAACTTTCCACCCATTTATTATCTATTTATAATACTACTATGACTACTACTGCTAACAATAGTAATATTCTTTTATCATTAGTAGTAGTACTAATACAATACAAGTAAAAGCAGTAGTAATACGATACAAAATTTAAGCATTCGTTGACAAAAATCTGAGTTTCTGTTCATTCTGTATATGTATTTAATCCAGTGTTAACTGCTAGAGGAACAAGCTGTTTCTTCTCATGTTTCTTCACTATGAACAAAACATAAAACACAGCATTAATTGCAGTTAATTACTATATTTATTTATGATTTGTTCCTGCATAGTGGGTTGCTATTGAACCATATTATAGTGTTACCATCCCATTTTATTTTATTTATTTTTATGTTAATCATTATCTGTTACCCATCTGCTCCATGTGCTATTTAAGATGTAATCCTGTTATTTGATAAAACATTAACATGCATTACAATAATAACAATTAAACAAATATATTACAATGTCCCACAGACATGAAAGCAATCTACAATTATAGAAAGATGCATATGATTATGGGAAAATGTGGCTGTACACACACACTTTCCTTTTCTTCCCCTTATCTAAATGCTAAGTGAGACAGTATGCCTGTGTTGGCGTCTGTGAATGTGTATACAATATGTGTGCATGGCTGCTTTTTGTATGCGAGGGTTGACTGAAGGCCTGACTTTGTATAGGCCTGGTAAAACTAGTGTGGAGCGTTAGCCTTTCGTGACATCACTCATTAAGCAGGTTTATATTCTCATGTTTATGTTCTGTCGTTGAAGAACAAAAGCCTAAATGAGGGTGAGGCGACCACTTGAAAGGGCTGCCCTAAACAGATCATGATGTTCGTCCCGCTATTAAGCTTCTTTGCTCGTTAGACCAATACATTTGAGGCATAACAGTCTAGTTTAGCCTTATTAAATGCGCAGAAAAGCTCAGGTTCAGGGACAAGATACGAGCCCGTTCTAGAGGAAGAAAACAAGTATTCCTGTTCAAAATGAGCACCCTCTAAAAAGAAAGCTCATCCACAGAAAACTGAGACAGAGTTATACCAAGAAGTAGGCCTACCATGACAGCACATATCCTAACAGGCAAGTCTAAATTCAAGGAACTAATCCCTTTCTGCTTGAGTCTATAAACACGCTACAGTCTAGAGACTCAGGGGACTGATGTCATTGACCATGAGCGAGGCATTTGCAGGCATGAAGGGTGTTTCATTAGGGTTGCATGGTCATTCACATTCGCTAGCCACAGCTAAGCCATGAACTGCTCAGCTAGTATTCCCTGCCCACGACAGGAAATGACATTGACAAATGATGGTTATATGAAAGAAAGGAATGAACAAATGTGGGCAGCATTAAAGGTTTAAGAAATTGAGCAGGCCTGTTAAAATACCCGAAGCAGGCAAATGTTTTTTCTTTTTTTTGGTTTTGAAAAAAGAAAGTGATGCTAACATAATACTAATGTTTTAGCATTCATAGTTCATTAATAAAACGTTACCCACAGTTTGGGACAAAAAGTGAAGAGGTTAGGACAAAAGTGAAGATGAATGAAAAAAACAGCCTTGTCATGCATTTTTGTTGCAAAAATAGTTTTAGGTAAAGGATTTAGGACCTGCCGGCACGCAATCTCTCCACCTTGTCAGGGCTTGGATGCAGGCCCTGTCATTGTGACAGCTCTGTCTGAGCACAAAGCCAGTGATAAGTTCGCAGCATGCGAGGAAATCCTTCATCACTCATGTCATCCCATGATAGCATTAAACATCCTTCGGCAGCGTAGCCAGAGGAAGCACACAGACAACACTTAACCAACATGTGCCAGAATAATAACATAGAAATAGTCTGCTGTGTAAAGGGGCATTCTGTATGTCTTTTGTTGCTGAGTTCAAGTTCCGATATTAGTGTTGTATGCTCTTGCGTTATGGAAATGTTGTTTAAAATTCCTTTATTATTCCTTTATTATAAACCAATGACTCAGCACCAGAAATATTCACAAGTCACTTCACGTGAGTTTCTGGGCTGCAAATGTGAATTGAGTCATGAGTCTTTAGTTAGTCTAGGGGTGCGAGTCCAAATTAAGCCTCAGGTTTCTGGGGTGTGAGTCCAAGTCAAGCCTCAGCCCATGTCAAACCTGTGGGGTTTGAGTTTGAGTCACGCTTTGCATTTCTGGAGTGCGAGTCTGGGTCAAGACTTGAGTTTCTGGGGAGCATGTCTGAGTTAAGCCTCGAGTTTCTGGGGTGCAAGCCTGAGTTGAGCCTCAAGTTTCTGGGGTGCAAGTCTGAGGTGAGCCTCGAGTTTCTGGGATGCGAATCCGAGGCAAGCTTCGAATTCCTGGGATGCAAGTCTGGGGCATGCCTTGAGTTTCTAGAGTGCTGAGTTTCTAGAGTCTTGAGTTGAGCCTCAGGTTTCTGGGTTGAAAATGTGAGTCCAGTCTTGACTTTAGTAGTCTTTAGTCTTTAGTAGGAATCAAGCCGTGAGTGTCTGGAGCACAAGTCCAAGTCAAGTCTTGAGCTTCTGGGGTGTGACAGCTTGAAAAGCTAGCATGTGGTTCGTGTAGCAAACATGTTAGCTAGCTAGCATAATAGCTAAATTTTAATAAAGCTTTTTCAATAATGTAGTTTGTTATTTTAAGCCATGTTGAAACTGACAGGTTTTTAGAAGGAATTTACTTTTGTACTGTGCAGTGCTTGCAGGTAATAATGAGACTAAACTTAAATTCTACTAACTGAAAACTAACTAAAGACTGAAGCTTAGATCACATTTGCACCCCACATTTCTACCTGAGAGGGGCACATTTAGATGCTTGAATTTGATGAGGAGACAAAGAAACTCTGGACTTTCATGAACATTTCCAACCCTCCAATGGACCCCATACAACTTTCCATAACTTCTAAAAGCTCCATCTGATGCTTTTTCACTTTTTCACTGAAAGACAGTACACCAGTTAATACAGTGCACACCCAACCCAAAGGGCATTTCCTTTCATCCTCTAGATTCAAAATTTAAGAATCAAAATATAAAATCATACCTGCATCTAATTCAGATGAGGTGAAAGGTCATCTTCTCACGCCTGCCTGTCACCCTGTCCAGAGGAGAGTCAGCTACAACCCAACATGCAGAGGGAGGGAGGAGGAGAGCGCTCAGGGCGAGAAAAAACAACAAACCCCAGGAGCTAAAAAAGGAAAAAGAGGAAGTGCCTTACAATAGAGGGGACCTTTGATCCATTGCAAAGGGAAGACTTCCCCTCGGGGCGCAAAGTATTAATGTGAAAGTGACTACCCCGGCGGACATTTGTTACAGCCGAATAATGGGGCCTAAATTTAGCACACAATAGCGGGCAGACGGGCGACCCTCGCGCCCAGCCTTGCGCAGGAAGGGGAGCGGGAGGTGATTGTATGAAAATGAGTGATTTGCCGGCGCAGAGACTTGTCAGAAGCGGCGGCTGGCCTTCCACGCCATGCTGGACGGAGCCAGGCCTGAGACTTGTCCCAAAGGTCACTTTTAGACAGGACCCATTGTGTGGAGAGACGACCTGGCTTAAGAATCTGTACTGAGATGGTGGGTGTGGGTCAGTATGTTTTAATGTATGAACATACTTTTATAAGTGTTGTCACAATCACCTTCTCAACTTCCCTTGATTTGAAGGAATCAATTAACGTTTCTCATTGCTTCATTCTTTTGTTTCATGCCAATCGCTGACTCACTGACTCTAGCCTACACTATCATGATGACAAAGCACCCACAGCGAACTAAT